TATACAAACTGAACAATCAAAATTAAGCACTTGTGTGGAAAACTTTTTTTTTTTATTTGACGAGATATCTAMACCAAATTGGCATTGGTTATTGGTTAAAACTATGGTACAAACTCCGAACAAATTAAGTAAGAGTCAAGATCGGATCACTATAGAATACAGGTATTAGAGTTCTCCATACAGTAATAAAAGCTGACATACAAACTGGTCGATCTTTTAATGGAAGCTTTTTATTACCAAAATTTACAGTTTTTGAGCAGTGAAATAGTTTTTCTTTCTTTCATTAACGTGTATTATGTATTGTTTCTTCATATTCATCAATTATTAAAAGTTATTTACATATTGTATAATCAATACATACATAAATGCATATATTGTAAGTGAAAAGTGTGGTTGTAATACTAAAATTAAAGATTTTCTCTTTTTGAATGTTTCTAAGACAAGGACAAAAAGTGTGTTTGAACTTACTAAACATGTAAGAATAATACTTGACGTMAACGTCGCATGGAATTGAATTATACACACACAGATAAAGATTGAGCATGAATTATTATGTAATATTATATATGCTTGTACATATGTATTTACATTCAGGCAAGTTTGAACGTATTTAAAAGGAAAAAATCAAATAAAAATAACACATTTAAAGTACTATGTCTTATCCAGATGTTTATATACATACGTATTTGAAACCAGTTAAGCCCATAGTTAAAAAAAAAATATATATGTATATGATATACGTACGTATTTATAAATGTAAAGCGTTGTATAGTAATATATGTGCTGTATAGTCCTATATGATATACATAAATACACTTACGAGTATTAGCAAGTTTACTGCTGAACACAAACAATGTTACACAGATATTCCTATGCGTATCAGTTAAAATTTTGATGCAACTACCTACATACAAACATACAAGCAAATATTTGTTTACGCAAAAAACAAAACGCTACAACACACAATAGTTAAACAATAAGTTATGTCACAGAACGACTTGAACATTAGAGAAAACAATTTAGGAGTTTTTATTRTAAGCCATTAAATAATATTTGCATCCTAACTATAAACACAGAAAATATACTTTAAACATATATATTTTCGCTGAATTCGTACACATACATATAGGTAGTATATTTTTATGCGCTTTTTTCGTGTACTTGCAAAATCATTAATTTCATTTGATTTGAATTATTTAATAAAAATGATTGTTCAACATAATGGTAATTGCTAAATTTTTTTATGTTGGCAAATGTTGTAGAATAGCACGAGATTTCCGTTAATTTGCTTAACGGTAGTAATGTTTAAAATTCTGTCCGAGTTTTGAACTATAGCCGTCGAAGGTATAAGAGTTTCTCTGTGGGTTTGGGGAAGAACAATGCTTGCAAAGAACATATAATAGTACATGTAACATAAATAAATAAATAAACAAAAGCTAAAAAAATCTTAAACTTAATCAAGATTAATAAAATACTAAAAATAAGTAAAAACCAATTATAAAAAAAAAAAAACAAATATAAAAAAAATTTACTATAAGCTAAATAATAACAT